TGTGTGTGTGTGTGTGTGTGTGTGTGTGTGTGTGTATGTGAGTGTGTGAGTGTGTGACACGGCACGGTGGAATCAGGCGCTGGTCAGTTTTTCGGCATTACGGAGTTACTGATATCATTCTAAAGCTTGTTCATTTCCCTTGCTTTAGGTGAAAAAAATACCCATCCGTCTTGAATGACATTCAAGATATTTTCAATTGACCCAAAATTTAATGACTGCCATATCTTGATGTCCTTGGAAACGGGAAATGTATATTATTTTCTATGCCTTTGAACAACGCTTGTTTTTAAAATGTGTTTTTGGATCGACAAGAACAAAAAAGCTGTTGACCCCTCCCCCCGAAAAAGAAATTAAAACAATGTTATAAATAAATAAATAAATAAATGTATTAATAAATAAATAAACAAATAAACAACCAAATGAATAAATCAAAACTGCCTAATGGAGGAAAAAATGCCGATTCCATTACTTTTGACCTGCGCCTCGTTTCACTAGAAGATGCCTCATTGCTCCCTACATAATAATATGAATTTATTGTTCAACACCATACGAAAATAAAATAAGAGCACAGCGCAGTAGTTTGTTAGATTGAATTCCCATGAAGTAGTTTAACAAATTGGCAAAACAGTGGCACAGATCTGTAGATGCAATGTCAGAACCACACAGTACCGAATACAAATACATCAACTTTGAACCAAACTGTATTTTAGAAACTAGACTAACTTTACATAATTATGTTAATTACAAAAAAATGTCCAGCAGGAACGTTCCGTACTGCATAATATTCTAAGTGAGTAATACAGAAAATGGGAGTGTATGCCTCCTGTAGTTTAAACAAGGCTGAGCTACATGTTACATGTTATAGATTGCATAATGAATAACACTTCTACTTTCGAAAGTCCATCTGGTATTCCTTAAGATGGTAGATTAAAAATATAGATTTGAACTGAAAACCTGAAGTATGCCTGACTTGAAAAATACTCCGCGCTATAAGCAGTAAATAGATTTGAAGGGAAATCGTTTTCTGTTTTAAAAAATGTTATTAATAAAAAATGAAACAGTTTTTCAGATACAAATAAGTTGTTTCAAATGCAGGCCATTCAATGTGCCCGTGCTCAAGTGCACCCTTATGATGTAGCAGAAAAGTTGCGCCCTTGTGGGTGGTTCAATAAATTATTTATAATCTCTCTGTCTGTTCTCTCGAGCTGAATGTCAAGTTCCCAGGTTCCGGTCATCGTTCAGTTGTCAGAAGCTTTGTCCCAGCCTGACCCTTGTTTGTGATTGTTGGAGGGTCATCAAAACGCGTTGGAAAACTTGGTCAGTGGGAAAAAGAGTCTCACTGTTGAAACAAAAGACATACAACAGAATCAGTAACGTGAAAGGCGACCAAAACCATTAAATAATAATACTGATGATGATGATGATGATGATGATGATGATGATGATGATGATGATGATGATG